GATTAGTTTTACTGTTGCTCATATACTTTGACTGCCATTGTAATGGATTGTAATATGAATATAAATATATATATATATCTATATTGACAAAATTCTGAAATCATCAGATTATTTAAAAATTATCCAAAATGTTTTTATTAATCACAGAGTACACACTAAATTACTGTTCATTGTAAATTAATATTTACTTAATATTTATTTGTCATATGGATCTAACACACGCACAATATTATTTAGCTATACGTGTCTTATGACATAAAAAAATTCTTTGTTTAATAGTTAATTATCTGAAATATATTTGTTATGCATATTAATTTCCGTGTTAATACGTGTACACAAATTTGCACATATTGTTGATTCTTTTAAATTAATTATATTCAACTGTCATTAAATACATACATTAGTACATTAAGAACAGATCTTGCAAATAATGAACCTGTGATTGAATGCATTTATGTATCGTATGTCAAATATAAATAAGTCGGAAATATAATTTCATTCATTTCATATCATAAAACAATAAATTTGCCAATGCAATAAACACATTATTATCAAACACATACTATATGACAGAAAAGATTTATGTTTTTAAAATGTATTAAATTTAATTAATTTTGTTTAATTATAGAAACAATACATAGGTGAAGTAAGAATTTCAACACTGAAAAAAATCAATTCAGAATTGCATTATAAAATAAATAAAAATAAAAAAAATTAGACTTACGGAAACATGTTAAAACATATATGATACATTTTAAAGTTAAACTTTTAATTTTCTTCATAATTTCAGATCTTTGTAATCTTTCTTTATTTCTGTAAAAGAAACAAAAAACAAATATAATTAAAAAAGTTAAAAAGCTTAATCGATTAATATGATCTTCTCTCTCAAAAAACTTCGAATTTCTAACAAAAACGAACATTAAAAAAATATTAACAAAAGATTTTATATTACTGAAAAGTAATTCTATCTTAAATTATTTCTTGTTTGTGAAATGAATGAGAAGGCGCTTCTAGCAAATAAACGATTCAAAATGTCCAAAACGTCTTTATTAAAAATAATAACACACAATTAATTATCACGCGTGCATTGATTTAAAAATTTATATTTATATCATAGTTACTAAAAAATTTTGTTTCAAGTAATCGATTTCATTTTGATAGTCAATATAATTTAAGTCTAAAAAAGCAACATAAAGTTAAAAAAAAACAATTTTTCAAAATTAAAAAAAGAAAAGTTAAAAAGTTAAATTTTTTTTTAGATGAATATCGTGTAAGTAACGCTTATTTAGACAAATATACAGATATAGTTCAAGAAATTTGAGAACTAATTTTTTGATTAAATTTTTCAAGGTTGGGGAAAAATACAAATTATATACGCGTTTTTGTTGTTATATTTATCAATATTTAGAAATAAAATAA